TATTTATTTTAATACTCAGATGAATATTATGACATATTTTCACCCCCATTGACTGAGGAGGAAACTGAATGAAAGATGCTACGTAATTTGATTATATTTTGGCTACTGAGTGGATATGAACCAAAAATGAAGCTGAGTTCATAGTCTGTATATGTAGCTGTTATACTTACTGCTTCTGTACTTTTTAAGGTTGTGGTGAATATTGGAAAAGTTAATGCATATAATGAATTCCTGGAAAACCACCAGTACTTGACAAATATCAATTTTCTTTCATTCTTTTCTGCTATCTTATTTAAGGGACCTATGAGTGAAAATAGATTCATGAGCAATGTATTTTACTACAAAAAAATCATACAACAACAAAGATCTTTTAATGGATTAAGGAACTCATTTATATGCCATATAAAAATATGATTTTCCTTTTGGCTTCCAAAAATTGAGTTTACATAAGGTCTTTAAAGATTTCAAAATTATTTTTCTCTATGCTAAATTTTTGATGATCTGCTAGACTGATTTTCTATAACAGATCGGTGACTTCTCATTATTCTCTCAGAGTACTAGACTGCTCGGAGACACCCACAGACACTAGTAAGGCTGAGTCTTGTGGCTGACAGATTCTCTAGGGAGGAGAAAGAAAAAGAGCTTTGCTACATGAGATGCATTTAATATAAAATAGTTATGCAAAAATAAGAATGTGTTCTTCACTGACAGTTCAACTTTTCAGATTTTAAGTTTCTGTAGTAACAAAAAAGGAATGGAATGTGAAATCCCAGAAACCTATGTGTACTAGCCATTTTTGTACTCCTTTTAAATGAAAATAGAGTTTTGTCCATGTGATGTAACTTAGCATAGCCCTATTACCATGTGAGGGACTGCTGTATTTCTCTTTTTTTTTTCTTTCCTTAAATTCTTTTATTGGTACATTTTAGGTAAACAATACATTTACGTTTATCATTGGGTGCTTGTACCTGTACATGATGTATCTTGGTTCTTATTTTTTCCCCATTACCTGTATGCCCTTCACCCCCTCCATCCTTCCCTATTTACATAGACTTTGTTTCTATTTTTTTATTTTCTCATAATTTATATATATATATATATATTTTTTTTTTACTAGTGAGAATGCAGCGTAATGTGAGGTATAACAGAGAACAATTTCTTTTTGTTCTACCAGGGTCCATCAACTTCATGGTTTAACTGTAACCATGATCAAAATTTGGACATAAAAATATATTTTAAAATGCCATCAAAGCAGTTTTTCTCAGATAGCAGGTTTTAGAAATATCAGTAGCTCAAGGAGAATTATAAGGTGATTTTAGGCAGTGATTTTCATGTAGCTTTGGCCATGTCTGGTGGTGAAATATGGGAGAGTAAATTGGCTAAGTTAATCTCATTTCCTCTACATATTTTTTCTGTAAAATCCTTAGATAATGAAAGCAGATATTACATAGTGAGGCATGTTTGAGCTATGGAGACTCAGCTTTTTATTCTATATAAATAAGACTGAACTTAAACTAAGAGTAATATATTTTTCTGCTTCATATCAATATAGGAAATATAAGGTGGGACAATTTTTATGGAATCTCAAGGTGTGAGTTTGAAATTATTTGAAAACGATCTGTCTAAAAACATTTATCAACCCATTTTTCTCCAAGAAGGCTCCCCAGATGTCCATTAGCCTCAGGGATGTGTTAGTATTAATTTTCAATTCTGGGTAGTTTGTAGTACACTGAAGGACAGATCTGGACATACACAGGGAGTCTAATCCATCCTTAGTCATTCCAATGGTTATGGAAGTTTTCTAAGAACTTGGACTACAAGCCAATGCACTGAGTTACAAAGAAAATACTCTATTTCTTTGAAACAAGTCACTAAATCAAAAGTGACAAGCCACCAGGAAGTCGAAGAATTTTTCAGAATATTTCCCCTCCGATATTCACTAGGGCAAGATTTGAAGTCCATCAATGAAATACACTGTGTTGCCCATCCACCATGTATTGAGCCAGGTTCCTTCCTAGTACAAAGGAAGGATATGCTGGTTTGGCTAATGTGGTGGACATTTAAAGATATGGCTGGGAACTTTGGATTTTTTTCCGAGGAACGATAAAGGATGAAAATATATACTTATTGACTTTTTACTATGTACTAGGCACTGGAATAAACCTACAACTTAGATTATTTCTCAGGAAACATTAAATTTTTTGGTGCCTCTCACTCAATGCTTTCTCCAAACCAGAGAGTTAGTCTTGTGAAAGAATGAACTTAAAAATTTAATCTTGCACTTGTTATCACACAATTAATTATGGTGGAGACAGTCTTCTAGTTCTAGGGTCATTATCCTAGTAACTCCTATAATATCTAATTAGGGTTATTCATAGAATTTAGTGAGAACAGAGTTATATATAATTTTTAAAAGTTTTTTATTGGTATATGTTTGGAGTACATAATGTTTACATTCCTTGGGTAGGGTTGGTGTATATACTTAACACATCTTAATTTCTTTTTTTTTAAATCACCTTTCTCTTCTCTCTTTCCCTCCTCCTTTTATCTCTTGATCCCTTTCCCACTTGAAAAAGAGCTATCTGCCCATTTCCTATTATCTACCGTTTATTTTGTTCTTTATTTTTAATTTGGGTTTCTCATGTGAGAGAAACTGTGGAATATTTATGCTTGTATGTCTGATTTATTTCACCTAACATTATCGTCTCAAAGTACATCCATTTTTCTACAAATGACTCAAATTCATCTTTCTTTATAGTAGAGAAGTACACCATTGTGTGTAAATACTACATTTTCTTTATCCATTCATCTATTCATGGACATATTTATCACTGGTCATTAGAGAAATGCAAATTACAAAACACTGAGATTTTATCTTGTCCCAGAAAGACTGGGCATCATCAAGAACTCAAATAATAACAAATGCTGGTGAGTCTTCAGGGAAAGAAAAACCTTTCTACATTGTTGGTGGGAATGTAAATTAGTATAACCACCATGAAAATCGTAATGAAGATACCTCAAAAAACTAAAACTAGAAATTACATTTAACCCAGGTACTCCCCTTCTAGTTATCTTCCCAAAAGAGTTAAAGACAACACATTACAGTGATACATGCATACCTATGTTTAAGTAGCACAATTCATAATGGCTAAATCTTGGAGTTATATATAATTTTGCTAAAATAAATTCTTTAATTTTAGCTTAATTCTGACAGTAAAGAGAATTAGCACATCACCCTCCTACTAATGTTGTCCCTCTTTGTTATCCATTCCTCCCCAAGGGAGAAACATCTATTAATATGTTTGGTCAGAGTTCCTTGTTCATTGGAGTACAAGTAATCAATTTGAAATATTAGTTGCCTACATAAGTATTAATTAGGGTTAGAAAATTTCCAGATATGAAACCCAAAAGCATGTTTCTTTTTTTTTTTGTAGATTTTTAAACTTTAAAGCAATTTAAATTGTTCTCTGAAGAAGTTATTTTTGTATGATATATAATAGAATCTTAATTGTTATCTTCCTCCGAACTCATTGTTTAGCCATATGTTCCAACATTAGTAATTTTACCAGGTTTGAAATTCAAAATTTAATATGTTCACTATTTGTCTTTTAACTTCTTATGTACAATCTAGTAATATACTCCAATATGACTTGTTGACTTTAAAAATCATATTTGTTTGTAGAAAATGTGCTATGTGTGCATATACTCTTTTAGAGCCTTAATAAATTCTAATGTTTAATAAATAATTGGGCATATTTATTGCTTCCTTACTAATTCTTAAACCAGCAATGTTTTGACTCGTTTTACTAGTGACCTTAACCTTTCTGAATTAGAGATATTCCAGCAGAAGGAAAATAAGGAAATTTCCCAACCCAGGGATGTTTGTAATGTTACTTCACATAGCACAGTTCATCTCAATCTCACATTTCTTTTTTATTTAGCAAAAGACAATGACCTCTGTCCTATTACATTTTTGATAAGAGAAAAAAATGTCATTGATTCAAAAAATACCCCTGTTGGCTAAAACAATCACGGTAGGTCTAAATCATCCTAGTATTTCATACATGAGCCAACTGAGTCTTCATGAGGTAAAAATGTAGAGGTAGGCCTAAAATTCAGACAAGGTATCAGCATTTATTTTAATATGCTCTTTGTAATATGCAGTATGTTAAACATCATTTAATTTCTTAAAATATTTACTATTATTTTCATTTTTTAAGTGAGAAAACTGAGGTTCAAAAAACTCAAGCAATTTAACTCATGTTTATTCAACCCATTAGTCTCTTATTCATCCAGTCCAAAATAGAGGCAAATATTTTGGTTTGGTGGTTTTCCCTCTTTCATTTTACATCAATTCCACTGACAATGGATAGCAAGTTTAATACATTAATTGGAGAGATGTCTTCTGTGAATATCCATATTCAGGGACTGCCAATCCTGTTAATTAAACTTTGTTTTCCTGAAACTCTGTGGGAAAGTCATAAAGGAAGATTATTTGCTGAGTGACCATTTCTGTTTAATAATGATAGAGTTATGGATGAAAGGTTTTTGTAACTATTTTGAAAGTATTTTTATGTAAACTTTTACACTCACCTATAATTAATGTTAATTTGTTTCACCATACATTTTTAATTTTGAAACTTTCTGTCAGGATAAATTCATATTCTGCTAGGTGAACATTATCCTTTATAATTTAATAAAATATAAGTATTCCACAGTATGAATGTCATTTAAATAAATAGTTTGAAATGTGCTAAGTATGGCTTGTGGGCTTACTTAATTCACAGAGAACAGGTTTCAATTTTCTCTGGCATGATCCTTCTTAGTTAAACTAAATTACATAAGCTTTAACAACTGAAAAAAATGAAGGAGGTCTATTTATGGTGTGAAGTGGAAAGAAGTAGCAGTAGCCAATTGTCTTTGCCCTAATTTCCCCCGATATAGCTGGAGATGAAGGTGATGTTACTGTCTCTATTGGACTTGTTACTTTTGGGTTTTAGGTTTCTTGGTTTGATTTTATTGAGGAAGTTGAGAGATGTTGAGTTGGACCTCAAGTCATCATCTGACAAGAAAAAGAAAGCTACACACTGTCATTACAACTTTCTTTGGTCATCTTCTCTCCCAGGGTGCCACTCATTAAAGTAAGTCAGTCTAGATCTTAACTGCTCTTACTCAAGGCTAGCACATGAGAAATACTAGTGGGCTGGAATGGCTTAAGATTTTGCTTCATCATTGGATTTAGTATTTGCGAATTTTAGAAATTAAAACATGTCTTTGGCTAGATTACAATGACTAGTAGAAAAGTATATCCAATTGATCAACTTAAATCTCAACATAAATTTATTATTTAAGTACAAAGCAAAATCTTACCTTTTATTGGTATTTTTAAAAGAAAATAAACATGATTTTAATGTTATTAAAATAGCATAATATTGAAAAATGTACAATACATCTTAATTTCAACTAAGTATTAATAAGCACAGTTTTAGGAAATAATCTGCATAATGAAAGATATATGTCTGTGCAGGAGGAGCTAATGACTTATATTGGGAGGGGATGGCCCCTTGCAGAAACCAAGAACCTCCACTGGACTCCTCAGATGTTCAATAAGGAAGTGAAGTTCATGATAGGACTTTGTTATGCTACATGAGAAATATAAGTATCATTTGTTTAAAACTGTTCTCAATATTTGGCTTTTCAGAAAAAGGAAAAATGCAGCCCAAAACCAAGACATTTCATCATTTGAGTTTCATTATAAAAATGACAAAAACTTATTGGCTTGGAAATATTAAAGGCAACATGATGTGCTGTTGGATTCTGTTAATAGTTGTCAAATCTAGAGAAATTTCAAGCAAGGGCAAAGGAGAGGTGCCAAATGGAAAACTTCTGAGTTTTCTATGTGGCTCTCTCTGAGTTAAAACGTATTCTACATTTGGAATGTTTTTGCATTTAGCTTGTGAGGTCTGGCAATTAACATACTGTAAACCAGTCTTGTAGCACTAACAATGGCAGTGAGACAGAGTCCAACTGATAAAGAAGGTAGGACTCAAAAAGACAATGTTTATAAATATGCAGTTTGTTTTAAGGAAAGAATATACTATAGCAACTTCATTAAAAAGGATATGCATGACAGCCAAAGGCTGTCTTTCAGCAAAGGGTCTTGAGAAGCCAGATGCAGCTTCACTCTACAAAGGCCATATGAGGAACACTTTTCTTTCACACCAGAAAGCCCTGACAAGGGCACTGAACACCCTGGAATCAAAGAACTCCAATAGACTTTCAGCCAGAGTTTCTTGTATCTCACTGGTCAGACAGGCATATTTTTGTTATGTAACAAGCTTTTGCAAGCAAGGGCTACTCCACCCACTGGCCATGAAGGTCATGCCAAGATCAGATATAAATCACCACTGTCATTATTAGCGATAAACAATGCTGACAAGATGCATGAATGACCTAGAGACTCCTGAGATTCATGATTGCAAGCCATGATAACACTATTAATTGGTATGTTTCATGTTTTGGTCAAGGATCAGTATCTTGTAGGTACTTAAGCAAAATGACTTGGGTGAATTCCAGACTTGATGGAGTTAACCCTCATTGTGCCCTTGCTATAGAACTACTGGTGCAAAGAAACTATTAGGAAAATGTTGACTCTTTGCCAGATAATTGGAATGCTGCTAGCTGGGTAGAAATATATAGTGATGCTTTATACTTCCCAATATACTAATTATATAAAACTACTACTGCTTTAAGAGTTGTATTGTGCGGGCCTGGGATTTAGTTCAGTGTTTCTGGTTCCAGCTGCACAAGCACACAGTCCCGAGTTTGATCCTTGGTACCAAAAAAACAAAACAAAAAAGAGTTGTATTGTAAAAGCCATATCCTTTTCATGTTGTTCTTTAACCTAAATGTAAGCTAAGTGACAAGCTTTTCCTTGTAAATATCATCATTTTAGTGGTGTGAAACATATACCTTATTATTCCTCAGGAGACTTGTATCCTTTGAGGCAATCAATAGTTGAATCTTGACACCTTAAATGAAGGTAAATGTTTTACTAATTTGTTCATTTGGATATTGGTTCATGAGATTGAACCTCTTTGATCTAAATCAACCCTTCATTGCCCTGTCAGTGATATGGGAATTTTTTTTCTTCATCAGCTGCCACAGTACTAACCTCACCATGCAAGAGGGACACTGAAGGAAGAAGGGCTTCTCTTCCTGGGTCTGCTGTGCTTCTTCCTGTTTGTGTGGATCTCACCTAGCATGGGTGTCATCCAGTGAAGCTCCTCTGTGATGCATTAAGCATGTGGCTTTGTAATGCTCCTAGACACTACAGATGGTTTCTTAGAAGTAAGTTCCATGCATTTCAGCTTCTGGTTGAATTCTGCAGACTTCTCAGCATGAATTCCAAGGGGCCTCCATGCTGCTTCCTGGAGCCTTGTGAATGTTGGCCTTTTGGTAAGTTTTCTGTTGAAATTCTCCTGGTTAGGCTAGCCAGTACCTCTGGTATCTTTCCAAAAACTTAAATAGCAACACTAGTGTGCAACTTCCTGGAAAATAGGACAACTAGGATATTTTCTCTATGATTCAGTAGAGTACCACTTAATTTCTTCACTGAAGTCTGAGTCCCCACTGTAGGGAGGAGCCCCCCTCTCTAAATCTGTTCCTTCCCTGACTATATATCCTCAACCTTGGTGTATTTGGGTAAGTTTAAAACTTCCTCTTAGATAATTCTGTGTAAAAATTAGTAATTCTTTATAGTAATACTTCTCTGCCCAAATTACTGTGTGGTTTCTGGCAAATGTATCTGTGATACATGCAGAAATAGAAAGGAAGAGTAAAATTATGACATAGCAAAGTCGTTTGGGAGATTTTATTGTTCTCTTGAGGTTAAGGAGACATTCAAAATGACAATCAGATACTTCAGTTGAATTCATCTCAAAGAACTAAATCAAAATTATATAATTTTATAATTGTAAATAATTATAAAATTATATAATTCATAAAAAATTATTATCTCTTTAAAATGTTTCAAAGTCTTCAATTCCACCCCTCTTCACAATGGAACATTTTACTTTGATTGACAGGGAATGTAAGCAGGGCAATAACTGGAGATTTTGTTGAAGTCTGGATATATACATTACACATACAAACACTGGAAGATTACTTCCTATATTCTCTTGTCTGTGAAGCCTTAGCAATCTTTAAATCTTAAATTTTCTCATATTTTCCTAGGAGTTTGAAATCAAGGGAAAATATATAGCTTAAATCATATTTTCTTTTCCAGCATCATAATATTATAGATAGCTATGTTAGATAGAAATTAATATGCAATTAATTAATATGCAAGTCCAGGCCTGAGAGCCTCCCTAGAGATAAACAGGGGTTTGAGACTATATTGTAATCAGCATCACCTGGTTCTGTGAGCCCAGAAAGGAATCAGATGCATAAGTGGGTGACCAGAACATCTGGATTCATTCCTTTCCATGAATACCTTTGTTCTTGCCATATATCCTTGCCACATGACTCATTTCCCTGTGGGATAAATATTAAGTGACTATACTTGTAATCATATAGGTTGTTATGTGACCCATGTTGTAGCCACATAATTTTGCTGTATAATTACCCCCCCCCACCCACTCTGGACCCCTCTTGGAAGTCCAGGAGCTATTTTTCTTTTCTTTATTTCCAATAAAACTTTCCTTACTTTCACCTTTGGTTCTCAACTTCATTCTTTGATGTTGTGACACCAAAACTAGGTACATCTGACATCTAACAAGTTGAGAATTACTGTCCCCCAAAACAAATAGATCCAACATGTGCCAAAATTATAAATAGCTGTAATATAATAAAGAAAAAAAGGCAAAGAAAACAAATGTTTCCTGGTGATCACTCAGCAATTCATTTTGAAAAGAAGAGAGTTAGCTGGCTAAAGCATTGCATTGTAAAAAACTGGAGATTGAATATTTTTCTGAATAGCAGCAGGATAACAGTTTTGATCAAATTGATGAGTTTTCTTTCAAAGAATCTGTACAACAATGAAAAAGTAATTATGAGGAGTTAAGAACTGTCTACAAAAACTTGGTCATTGTCTCACATAGTTCAAACAGAAATTTTAAGCTTGAAACTTTAAGAATGACTGATATTACATTTGATCTTAGCCAAAAGACTGAGAAGCGATAAGAATGACTGATATTAATGGCTGCTCAAGCGCGAAGAACCTGTAATTCTCCCACCAGAGTGATGCTTCCTTCTGCAGGTAAAACATCTATTCATCAACAATATTTTTTCTCTACCTACAGTACAGAACATGACATCTCAGATTGCTGCCTCTGACAGCCAGAAATCAGGGTTCTCATGGCAAAACTGTGCAGAAATAATTACCCCTACTTACTGGAACATTAAAGTGTAGTACTGATATACCATTAGGGCTTTTGCAAGAACCTGATTTTGTTGTATATTTTTCCTCTGGAGAAAGAGGAATCAAGGAGTCAACCATCAGCAAACAGTTAAGTAAATATAGTCCCTAAAGAAATGTTAATCAGGTTGGAGGAGAAAAAATAATTCTTATTCTGTACTCCTCATAAAATGAGATATACATTGTCAAGATAATTTGTTTCCCTTTCTCTTCCTATTTTATTCTTTTCTCTCTCCCACAGATTGAGTTGAAAGGTAATCTTTCTTACCACAGGCAAACCCTGCTGGACTGCGTCTTGGATTTCACTATTTCCCAGTTCTATAGATATTTGGTGGTTGTGTTTACCTATACTTCCTTCATTCTTTTGATTTCTATGCTCACCCTTGCATGGCTCTGTTTTGAAAAGTAAATAGTTCTCCTATCTTGCAGTTTCTTCTCTTGTCTTCCTTTAGGAAATATTCCAGTGAGGATGCTAATTCTGCTACTTTCATGTTCTCACTCTCAATTTTTTCCTATCTCAGTCACTATCAGATTGCAATTTCTCCTTTCAGGTTTTTAAATGACATTTTTCCTATCAATTCAGGGGCCATTTATTTATTTCCCACTTTCTAAGGCATAATTGTCTGAAGATACCTAAACAGAAAGGTAAAAGTATCCCAAATCATACAGGAAATAAATAATAGGACAGTGATTGAATTCAGGAATTCCTACCATCTCATATCAGTGCTTAGTGTGCTATCATATGACAGTATGAGAACTTCCTATGTTTAGCTTTCCTTTTTGCTTCCTTCTCCTTGTAAATACAAGCAGCTAGTAAATTCTCAGTCCTTAGCTGTCTACATTTCATATATATAACTAATATTTATTGTTGGGAGCAATGCTACATAATTCTAGGGATAAATCATTTGGTTAGCCTAGTTCTCTTGCCTACAGCCCAGCTACAGAATAACTCCAGTTTGGCCTCCGGTCACAACTGAGACTTCACTGATCCAGTGATGCTGTGATTCTCCAGGACAAGAAACATCCTGGGAGAACAAACATCTGCTCAGTTCCTCATTGTTCTTGGACTGATTAACATCTTGTTTGCCGGAGATGTACTGAACTCTCTGCAAGCCTTCCGTTACACCTTGTTTATCCCAATGTGAACTATTGAACTCTCTGCAAGTCATTTGTTACATTTGTTTCTCCCAATGTACTGAATAAAAGGTGTGGTAAGCTGGGGGCTTTGTCTTTGCTGCCCAGAGCAGCACTGATCAGACCCAAAGCTCAGTTTCTTCTCAGTCTCATTTTTCTACCTTTCCTGTAATTCGCCGTGTGCTGCCGTGGCTCGCAGGAGACCAGGACTCACTGCAGAGGTTCTGGTAACGTCCCCTTCCCCTGTCCCCTACAATTTATGTTCCCTTTTCCACTTTTAAATTGACGAATACTAACTGCACATTTGGGAGGTTCTATGTGATAATTTCATAGATGTAAACATTATGTAATGATCAAATCAGAGTAATTAGTATTTCTATCAGTTTGCATGATTATCATATCTGGTAAGAGAATTAAAAATCTTTCATCTGGCTACATTATTAATTGTAGTCACCCTCCTGTCCACAGAATATTAGCACTCATTCCTCCTGTCTACTTGTAATTTTTCACTTAATGACTAACCTCTCCCTAATCTTCTGTCTCTTCTCCCTTCCCCAGTCTGGTTTCCATTGTTCTGTTCTCTACTTCTGTGTGGTCAAATTTTTAGATTCTATGTATGTGTGAGACCATATAGGGTATTTATGTTTGTGTCTATGTAATATTTTATTTAATATAATGTCCCCTAGATGAGTCCATGCTGTTGTAAATGTCAGGATTTCATCATTGTTTACAGCTGAATAGTATTATATGGTGTATATATACATTTATTTTATCCATTTATCAACATTTAGGTTGATTCCAATACTTGGCATTAAGATTTTTTTTGATATACTCATTTTCTTTCCTTTGAGTATGTACCCACTAGTGAGATTGATGGATTATATGACAATTCTATTTTTAGTTTTTGCAGAAGCTTCACATTATTTTCCACAATGCCACCAAACCAACACTTTTTGAGTGCTAGAGTGAAGAGAGTCATATGCCTTATGTGTGTTATTTCATTAAATTTCATCAACAATATAATAGAATATGTATTATTTTCCTAACTGTTCAAATGTGTCAGTTGATGCTTATATAACTTCATTAACTTATTCTAATTTACTCCAAAATCTTTTCTTTAATTTTTTATTGGTTGTCTTTTTACTTCTTTTTTATAATTATAAAGAAATTTGTGCTTCTTGTAACAAATAAAACAATTTAATGGTCTCAAACACCTGAGCTAGTCAATTGTAATAGATAAGTTTATAGGTTGGTGCAACTTATTACTATATCATTCCCCTTGAAAGTAAATATATACATGCACATAGCCACATATTCAGGGTGTTTATGCTTAATTTACTTAAAAATTGTGATCAGTAATATTGAACACAACACTGAAATTCATCTAGCCAATTTGCAAAATATCTTCTGCATATCATTCTTAGCCAAATTTTTTTTTTTTTTGAAACAGGGTTTCACTCTGCAGTTCAGGCTGGCCCTGAACTCACTATGTAGCCCAGGTTGGCCTTGCAGTGATTCCTTTGCCTCAGCCTACTGAGTGCTAGGATTACAGGCATGCACCACCACACCTAATGCCAAATGTTTTAAGTTGTCCTCCATTTTTAACAGTTGCATGTTAGTCTATAATATGACTGTATAAAAAAATTAATCTCCCTTATCAATTAGATTTTTTATTGTAAGCTGACTCCAATAAACACCTTTTTATGTTAAATTTAGGATTACATCACTAAATTATGAATTCCTAACATATAGATTACTGATACAAAGGTGTGTTTTTCTACATGTTTTTACAAAACAATTTGTGGCTATGTATAATTTTGCTAGTAAAATATTAGAAGGTTTATTTCCCTATGTCCTTGGTAACAGTGCATATTATCATTCCTTTAGTTTTTTTTTCCCTAGATAATGTGTGAAAATTGGTGTACTATACTTATTCTAATTTTTTTGCCAATAATCCTGATATTGTTAATTTGTTTCCTCTTTAGGTTTGTTGGATTTTCTAAGGACTTAATCAATTTCTTAAGAACCAGTATTTGATTCTATTAATTATCTTCTGTTCCTATTAGTTTATGCTGTGATCTCTATTATTTTCTTCCTTTTTTTGCTTTGGGTTTATTTTGGTCTTCTTTCTCTAGTTTTCTTGGGGTAGAAATTTAGATTATTGATTTCAGTTTTCCTCTTTTCTGTCTTTAAGAAAAATAGTGCTATAAATTTTCCTTAGCACTGCTTTAATAACAAAAGTAATATAAAGGCTTCTTCAAACATACAAGAATTCATCTCAGCAAGCTATCATTGCTTTTAAAAATATTTTAAAATTCTTTTAAGAAAAAAATGAAAGGATACTAGATAGAATATGAATATAGATGAACATGTAGAAAACCATGGTAATGATAAAGGCAAATATATATATTTTCTAAATATCTTTAATTTTATATAAATATCCTTATCTAAATATCTGCATGTTTTATTGACAAGTACTAATGTACAGCAGGGTTTATATTATGTACAAAACTGAAAGCAAATTCGTGACGTGTTCCATATTTTTTAAGAGCTTGACATACAGATAAGTGAGGCATATAGGACTCCAAATAGCCTTGATCAAAAAAAATCTACACATAGGCATAT